CCAAGATGCTGTCATCAATCATCGAACCTACTGAAGTTACATGTGTCCGGAAGTGAATAGCCAATCCATGCATCGTCATTTTTCCTCCACTATGAAGTCCATCCATCTGACGCCCATAAGTTGCAGACTCCTAATGTTTTTATTAGAACTAAACCAAGTGACGGCAGTACAGTTCTATGCCTCGAGGATATCTCATAAACCGGAACTTCAAATCGTTAATTGTGGCTTTTAAATGATCAATATTAAACGTAAATGCTTGTTTGACGAATAAAGAATTTTCTGTTTCCCGTTGAATGCGATTAAAACGCACAACCAGGATAGAAACAATTATCAAATGTCATCCCTCTTACAAACAAAGAGACTGTTCGTTTGCTAGAGGTGCATCTCTGCCGTAATCACTCATTCTAAGTGTAGTCAATGAAGAGATAAAAGGGAATGAAAATGCCAACATAGGAGTATAAATCAAATTTAAGGCGTTCAGTAAAATATAAACATCTCGTTTCAATCCGCTTGAAGATGCATATTTAGAAACAATCAATCTACTACAAAATTTCGTGGCATCAATATTTAATAGTTTTAAGCTATTTTAAAACAGCTTAATTGTTAAGCTTCTAAAAATAGCTCGTTATTATTTTTGCAAAATCTACAAACGTTACTCGGTTTTATTGCTCCCATAATCTCGTTACAAAATTTGATCTGGCAATCGAAAACGGGCAGGTTAATGTCAATCATCAGCGCCTTCAGAAAAACAACATCTTCACGAAAGCCATCTGACTCTTGAGAATCATGACCAGTTCACAACTGTATGATTGTTGTTATATTTTTTCAATCTCTAGCCTATCCTTTTCAACATAGGGCCTCAGTCGTGTTGTGAGAAACTGGCCATATAAGAACGGTACATCACGATAGAACAAAGTACGATATAGTTACTTTTATCATTTCATCTGGACCCGCAAGTAGTCGGCGACGAATCATATCATCCACAGCAAGCACGCAATTCCTTTCGGTTTCGAGCCCTCTCTGTCCAACCGTGGCTTTTGACATAATCGTGGTGAACATGACACTAGGCAGCCTAATCTGCCCGCATGGGTGCCACTAGACAATCATTGCTGTCCATCGTCTGCCGTTGAGCCGACCTACGTGCCTGGCCCACCGCACCTTCTCTCTTCTGGTTTCTGCTACAACGTCCTTCACCTTCGTCCCCATCCCTTTATCCACTCCGCTGTCTTGTCACCATGTTGCGGATGGAGTCGCGACGTGAGATTCCAAATGTTCATCTTTCCATGGCTCTTCCAGTGACAGACAGTTGGTTCTCTTCGTTTTTCTCAAGTGACACATCTCATAGCCGTACCATGTCGCCGATGGGACGGTAAAATTGAATAGGTGGGCGTTGGTATCTTTCGTAATGTTGCCAAATAGGACGTCCTAGATGATATAGAACGCCCCCAAACCGTCCCTCAGTTGAATACCCCCGTTTGTTCATGCCTCACATTGACCTCATGACCAAAGTAGATGTATTCATTGACTTCTCCATCTCTTCACTGATTAATATTACCTGTGCCATCGGCAGGGAATCTGATTGCAGTATCTTCGTTTTTGACCGCTTGATTCGCAGGTCGACTTCTGCATTGATTCTCTTGATTTCTTGCAATATGCACTGTAACTCGCTAAAGTTTTCTGCAAACAACACCACGTCCTCAGTGATATTGGCTCAGATGTTTATCGTTGACGTTAATTCCACCCTTCTAATCTGTCCTTCGGTACACCATTTCCTTGCAGGCAGTGAAATGTTTGAGGAAAATGGTGTCCCTGGGTCTTACGCCGCACTCCACTGGAACTCTGAGGAAGTGTCAAATAGGGTGATGTATGTGAAACAGCCGACGTTCGTCTTCTACCAGGTAAAAGGTAGGACTTCTTTCGACCAGTACAGTCCACACGGTGTTGTACTCGTCAGTGTCGGTACACAGACTCAGCTCTCGCGAGCTCTGAAATATGGTTCAACGTAAAGATGTCATCGGTTGTGCCGTAACTCCTTCTGAATCCTATTGGCTGCTGTTTGTCCAGACTTGTTGACAGTCTATTGGTAATGATCTAGCAAACAGTTCATAAATTGGTGAGAGCAGGCAAATTTGGCAATAATTTTCAGATCTTCCTTCTCGTCCTTCTCAAAGACACGACACGATTGCATTCGACTCCTTCCAGCTTAATGGTATGAATTCCATTTTTAGGCACCAACTGAACCTGCCCGTTACAACCCCCTAAAGTGTCTGACAGCTTGCTGTGATCATTTCAATTGTGAGACTGTTTGTCCCTGGGGCTCTTTCTTTCTTCACCTGCAAGACGGAATTCCGAATTTCGCTTATGAGGACCAGGCATGCTTTTCTTCTGGTCGTTGGAATGATGGTGCGGATGCATTTGATTGACGCAAGGAGGTGGCTGCAAAAATTCTAACAGATAGCTCTGTCAAACGTTAATGCACCTTGTCCGTTTTCCGTGGATACAAACCGCCAAGGACCAAACAGCCTGGCATGATTGCGCTCGGCGTGTGGGAAATATGAAGAATCCACACTGAAAGCCCGAGCAATCTTTGAATCTTTGAATTTTAGCAATCGGAAGGTCTCGAATTTCTCCTCCAGCTTCCGTGTAATGAGCTTGCTGAAAAGAGTGTACTCTGCCGTACCGGTTCAATCGCTCTTTGTCCTCCTCCGATTCTCTAGCAAACTCTCTGTCTCTTCTGCGATCCTTCCTTTCCATCTCTTTGTTGTTGCCCCCTCCACTAATTTCACTCGGTGCCTCAATCTCTCAGCGAACCTCTCGTGATTGTCGTTACAGCTGCTGCAGACTCCATTCGTCACTTTATCATCACCCAAAGAGCAAAACGCAACCTGTACCACTGTACAGAAAATGAATAACGGCAGACGAACGCAAACGACATGCGACAACAAAGCATCATGGAAGAAAACAAACCCTTCCTCATATAATGGTAAATGAACAATGCAAAAAGACCCCGGAAATCGTGCAACACACAGCAGAGAAACATCACGTCCCCCAGTGGTTAGATAGCGTGGTTATCGTTAAAAAAACTGACTGACCAGACGATTCAAAGAGGCTCTAACTATCCCTGAGAAAATCTCAACCGAGACCGGGATATGAAATCTATATTGATTTGATATGCCCTACTAAGCACGTGACTCAAAA